TTCAAATAAATGGTGCTGATGACATTATGTAAGATTTGAATATAGTTTAGCAATAAGTGTCTAAAGCCTTTTTGCAGGTAAATATACATTTATTTTCACTGGTTTTCAATGATTTGCGCGTAACATCGAATTTGCTGTTCAAATGAGGCTTCAGCACTAGCTGAAGCCGTTTCGCAGACTTTGACGTAAATGCAACCCCTTAAATGTTTCAGTAGGTGCCAAGCAGACATGGGAATGGAAATAAGCCCAGGTTCCGTTTGACACATTGTGACCCAGCAGTGTGGAATGCTAAAGTGTCCCAGCTTACCCCGATGCCTCCTCGCAGACATCCCAGGTCCAGTTAGTGGGAAGTGGTCGACAAGGACCATGCGCCCCCCATCCTCCAAACTGAGAATGCGTAGCTCAAGCGCTCGTGCGCCACGTAGCTGCAATTGGTCCCTCGCGCGTCCAGCTCGTCACTCTGGAGGACCTGGCACAGAAAGTCAATATAGCGGGCCGCCAGCTTCAGCGTCTGGATCTTGCTGAGCTTGTCAGACGGGAGGGTGGGGATAATTTTACGTAACGACGTGAACGCTTCGTTCAACGACTGCGTCCGTTGTCGCTCGCGGATGTTGGCCATCACACGCTGCGTCTGCAGGTCGTCGAAGGAGCGCGCGGGGCTGCTGCTGCTGCTGGCCTCGCTGCCGCCGCTTCCTCCGTCGTCGCAGATCTTTCTGCACTTTTTCTTGCCTCGGATGGAGCTCTCTACGCCTCCCTCCTCATCCTCCTCCTCGTCCGTGCTCCGGCGCGCTGCCCGCCTCTTTCTCGCCCCTCTCCGTGGCAACTGACGGTCACTCTCCTCCTCGCTGTTCCCAGCGCTGTCCATCGGGGAGGAGTCGTCTTCCCGCATCGTCTTTTCAGACGGACTTTTTTTTTTCTTCTTCTTTCCTTTTTAGGATGTGGTACAGTTTTTGACCCCTGACCCAAGTAACTGTCACAAATATCAACAAACAGGGACAGCTATATTAAGGCGTTTGGCCTGCAATGGTTTTTAGACCTGAATTATGAAATGTGGTGCGCCACAAAGAGGGAGAGGTATCTGCCAGGCTGGGACGACCCCAGGCTCTTATAGGGAGGAGAGGGAGGATTTTGGGGAGGACTCTCTGATTGGGAGAGGAGGGGTGTAATATAATACTGCGGGAGAAGGAGACTTGGGGAAAAACTCCTTAAAACACGAAAGCTTCTCCACACAGAAGTGGGAGGATGTGGTGGGGGCAACGTTATTAAATCATGCATCTTGTGCAAACACTAGCTGTGTGGAGATAATTTCTTCTTCTCTTTTTTCCTTCCAGTGTTGCACAAAGCTAACAAAATAAGTGGAATTCCTTTGAGTTAGAAGGCCCCCACCCATCCATATTTTTCATTTTTCATCCACAGGTTGCTTTCGTAGCGGCCTTTAGCAGGTCTGCATTGTTGGGTCTGGCTTCCCTCATCTTCCTCTTGGCAATACCCCACAGATTCTTTAGGGGGTTTAGGAGAGGCCATTTTGCTGTAATGAAGCACACTGGTGCCATAGTCATTAAAGCAGGTACTTTTGTCAGCGTTGCTGGCGATTGCTGCTGGAAAAGGAAATCTGTATCTCCATACAAAGGGAAGCATGAAATGCTATAAAAGGTCCTTCTGCAGCTCCGTTGAATTGTAAGATGCTTTTAAAATCTCCTTTTGGTTCTGCATGTGGCACAACACAAAGAAGGTGACCAGCGATGTAAGCTCTGACCCCCATTGCAGCGTATGCCTTGTGACTCTCCCCCAGTCTTTTGAATGGGCTTGGATTCATATTTGTTTCAAGGCTGCAGTTATCTATATCGCCTTTGGACACATTTTCCTTCCACTAAGCTTTCTAGCAATTTACTTGAAAACAGACCTTTACCTTATGACAAAATCCGTTTGCTTTTTTGGCCTCGCGTAGTATTCTGGTTTTGTTATAAACTGAATTGTGTTTAGTGTTTTAATAAGCTTTAGGCCGCATTTATAAACAAAAACCAGAAATAAAGACTTAAAGTATATTAGTAAAGTATGTGTGATAGAACTACGTAGTTCACTTTTTAAATTGTAATAAATGAAGTTGTTGATCATATCAAAATGTATTGAAATGACATTTTGGAACAAAAGTGCCCCAGTTCAAAACAATTAGTTTACAAAATAAATTCTAAATAACAAAAGGAAACACATACATTTGATATTTAAGATATTTATTTAATTATCTAAATTTCAGCAATTCTACGTAGTAAAGTGTGGAAATATACTACTGACTGCATCTTGCAGAATGCATAAATAATCAGTATTTATTTACTTATTTCGTATCCCTGTTTTGTAGCACATTCTGAATTATTTTCTTTTCGCTTCCCCTTGTAAAGTCAGTGGGCGGAGCTAACTTCTACAAACAAGGTGATTGGTCGGCAGTTCAGGTGCAAAGTCTGGTTCACAAGACATACTGATACTTTAAATAGCATACTAAAGAAATAATAATAATAATAATAATAATAATAATAATAATAATAATAATAATAATAATAATAATAATTGCATACTAACGAAAATATTTACAAATAATTTTAATATATAAATAATTCTGTTTTTAATTATTAGTTTTACAGATTGTGCATTTAGTAAATTTCCAGATGTAAATTAACTAAAACATTCTTTATTAGTCATTGTGTCTTGGTTTTCTTTAAGTTAACACACATATGAGTTTTCACTTCATTCATGACAATACAGCCTCTCCCAAAGCTTCTATTTTCCAGATAGAGATCCAGAGATCCGAATGTTGAAAGTTTCATCCCCTTTTCTTCTTTCACATTCAAAATAAACAGAAAAAAAAACCCCAGCTAAAAGTCTCAGCGAACTGCTAGGTTTAGACGCCTCAGAAGGGAACAGCGGTGGTTAAAAAACATCAGGCCACTGAAACACAGGAGGTTGTCCCAGCAGGAGGTCTTTGCTCCTATAAGCAGACCGACGTGTTTATTTTCACGTCAGCTGCCCCGCGTTGAGGTATGCACTTAAATGGGCCCGACTTCCCCGCAGGGAATCGCGGCACAGCAGCTCAGGTTTAAAGGAAGATCCGTCCTATCCAAGGGTGCTCTTAGGGGCGGAACGCTGCGCGCAGCAGGGCGCTTATGGGACTGGACCGAAACGCAAATATGTGGTAAAGGTGGAATGGGAGGGAGGACAAGAGCAGTCGTGAACGTACTTGACCAGTCAGCAAAAGTTTCTACTAATAGAACAATGCTATTTGTGTTTAAAAGAAGAAGAAGAAAAATAAAATGCTGCTTGGGTGGGGAGTGGGGGGGGGGAGGGAGTGCTTGTGGATCTTATCGGTATGTAATCTTGACAGTGCAAAATATTTGAAAGCCAAATCCAAGATTCACTGCGTGAAGCCGGGTGATCATCTTGATCTCAGGGGTGTAAATTGACAGAGACAGGCTCCGATTGAGGCCTTTGCGATTAGGCTTGCTGCTTCACTCTTGATTGGGTTAAAATGATTCATCTCTTCCCTCTACATTTCTCGGTAGGAAACCAAATCGTCAAATTATGGAGTAAAAAAAACGTGAGTAGCTCACCAGCCAGACGCCAGGTGAGGCGTCTGGCTGCGTAACTCTCCAAGGTGCTGAAACACGCATTACGATCTTCACCGTCAATCCTTTTGAAGTTCTGATCAGGAGTTTTCACGAGCAAACACTGAGCTGTTCATCTCCTTGTAAGTAAACGCGGGCATTATTTTTTTCAAGGAACAAACAAAAAGGTTGAATTTTGTAAGGAACCATAATTTTGGGGGGAAGAGAGCGGATGGTGCACGGTTCTCTTTGGGTACTCCGGCTTTCTCCCAAAAGTAAAAAAAAAGAAAAGAAAAAGAAAAACATGACCGTTATAGGTTGATTTATGTAGGTTGAGTGGCTTCTCTTGATTACTTTGTTTGTGTGGTTATAGGAAATCAATCAAAGTTGACCCTGCTTCTTAGCCAATAGCGACACTACAAGGATGAAGCGTGGAGACAATGCTTGGTGCCTCCAGGCCAGCAGGGGGCCCCCATGAGTGCAGGACTTTTAACTGCTATTTCAAAGTTTTCTCGTTACAGAGTTTAAAATAATGTATTTTTTTTTAACCTTTTCGAATGGTTTCGGTTTTAAATGAACTAACAAATATAGGGTTAATACTTAATACTAAATTTTTATTTTAATATTCACAATTTAATATGGCTGTCCATTAATTTCTCCTATGGAGTCCATATATACGGGCTTAATCAGTAAATAATAATAATAATAATAATAATAATAATAATAATAATAATAATAATAATAATAATAATAATAATAATAAATCAGTTTACATTCTTTGGTGGGAGGAACCGGGTACTCCGGTTCCTCCCACAGTCCAAAAACATGATTGTCAGGTTAATTGACCTCTCCAAATTGCCCCTAGGTGTGAGTGTGTATGCATGGTTGTGTGTCTCTGTGTTGCCCTGCGACAGACTGGCGACCTGTCCAGGGTGTACTCCGCCTCTTGCCCGGAACGTTAGCTGGAGATAGGCACCAGCAACCCTCCCGACCCCACTAAGGGACAAGGGTGATGGACATTCTTTGGTGTAGATTCTTGGACGTCCATGGTAGTCTTGAGAGTTATACATTTATAACTATCAATTAAAAGTACAACCAATTAAATCAACCACTCCTTCCAGATTATACTGAAACAGTACTCAGATAAAGCCGACGTTTCCTCTGTGAAAATTTCCTTTCAATTGTTCGATTCATTAAGCGAATAATTGAACGGTCAAGTAAAACACGAGTGACTAAATCCATTCCCCTTTCAGGCCTGATATTATTATCAAATAATAATAATAATAAAGCGCCTATCGCAAAAATAAAAACACATGCGTTCCCTGCTTCTTAACTGTGTAGCTGTTTATTCCCCTTTTTCCAGAAGCAACTTATTTTTAGTCAGTATGGAAGGAAAAAAACAAACAAACAAAAAAAAAAACACACACACACACACAACTCTGTCTCAGGTGTTCTCCAGCAGGTCCATCATGAAGGAGATGTAGACAATGGCCAGACGCAGCGTCTCGATCCGAGACAGCCTCTTCTCGTACGCAAATGTGGGGACTTTTCTCCTCAGCTCGTCAAACGCCTCGTTCAGGCTGAACATCCGCTTTCTCTCCCGCACGTTGGCCGCCTGCCGCTGGACTCCGGTGATGATCCTTCTGCGTTTGGACCTGCTGTGCCCGCGGCTGCAGCACCTCGGTGAAAAGCTCGCCGGACGCTCCGTGCGCCCTCCGCCAGGCAGCGGGGACGTGCTGCAGGAAGAGCCGCTCAGGTTGTTCGGACAGTAGGCCGAGACGTCCACCTCCTCAGACCCTAAAGCGCACTTCTGGGTGAACCCGATCAGGTTGATGTCACTGACGAAGTTTATTAACACGGAGTCGTGAATGTCCATGATCGAGTCTGCATGCAGCTGGCAGAGCGAACGGGATCTCTCTTTTGTTTGTCTCCTGTTCAGTTAAGAGCAAAAGAAAAAAAAAAAAATCAGACTCCAAGCGATCACCAAACCACGACAAGTGCATCCAGGTTTCTACATATCCTGTCAGCTCTCCACGGGGTTAGATCCTCTTTGGCTGAAGTCCAAGTGCCTTTTTCCTGCGGTTTTAATAAGCCACCCACACCTCTTCACAGCGCCACATCTTTCACGCCACCTCTGCTTTTAAATCGACTGTATTTCTCCTCTTAGTAAGGCCTTTTTAGAGGAAAGCTGGAGGGTTCCGCCAATTGATGCGCTGTCCCCCTCCGCCCCCGGAGGCCCTAAATGAGCTTCTGAAGAACGGAGGCTCTTGACAGAAGGTCACAGACTCTTGTTTGCGCTCTTCCCTCGGCCTCGGCTGCTAAATAATGACACTTTTAACACTTAAACTGGCCAGGGGAAGACCAAACAGAACATTCTCTGACAGTCAAAAGCTTTTCTGTTGCAAATCAAAGCAAATAGCTGTCCGTTCCCATGGCAAGAAAGAGTCCACACTGCAGGAACTGCTGAGAGAGAGTCACTGGGAGCTTCAATACGGCAAAGAAATTCCTCTTTGTCTTAATTTTTTACTCTCAATCAGTTTTGCTAATGAGTTTATTTACTTTCCACTTGCTGTTTTCTCTATGCTCAAGTACAGACAAATTGTCCACATGTTTAATGTGACTATTTTTTTGAGTAGAGATCATTGTTACATTTCTTTCAATTCAGTGTTTCCTGATCAGGGAGATGGTTATTAAAAGCTACAAAACACTAGTTGCTGATTCATGAATAGCCGACTGCTTTTCGGTATGATTTTGGGGACGGGCCTCACAAAACAGTCGTACTGCTTAGACTTTGTTCATCCTGGTTTGTTTAGAGTCTCGGTCCATCGGTTCCATCAACTCTGATCAGCTTCATAATCCCACAGCATGATGATGCCGCCACCATGTTTCACAGAGAGGACGATGAGTTCAAGGTCATGTGCAGCATCACATCACCTTGATGCTGCAGGTGCATAAAAACAGGGGGAGGATATGTGCTGATTTGTAAAATAAGATCGATGTTTGTGTGAGAAAAAAACCACTTAGTTATTTAGTTATTTGGCAAACCTCAACCTAACGTCACAGTTGATAAAAACACTTTGAAACCCCCTTTTGTTGATGATTTCATGGTGCGTTTTACTCCACTGAGACAGAAAACACACTTTTTACTTTATTAATAACAAATAAGACGTCTGATCAGGAACTGCACTTGTTTTCTTCAACTGTATCCGGGTAACCAGTTTTTTTTTCTTCTTCTTCTTCATTCTACTGCCAACCTGAACCAAAATATTGCACTGGAATGTGGTGTGATTTGGTGACAGTTCTCCACTTACAGAAAGCAGATATCCATACACATATACTATTAAAAAAAGAAGATGAGTCTGCATCGTTTTATGATTTAACGTTTCTCTTGATTTTGAACGTGCATCTCCTCCACGTCGCTCTGACTTTATACCTTCGTCTCACTTTCGTTTTGTGTATTTTCCTGGCAGACAGATACTCATGACGGGACATTCCGTGGGTTGTCGTGGAGACGCTGTGAAAGCACAGCTGGCCCGTAGAATATGAGGTAATCTCACCCTGGGGCTGCTTAGCAAATATTGGTCTTAAATAGGGAGTAAAACCCCAAAAGAGGCATGCAAACAGAGTCACAGGGACACACACACACACACACACACACACACACACCTACAGGGGTTTATCCCAGTTTTAGTCAGGACATACCTAAACACAGACACTCAGAATGGTTCATTTCCTGCGCTGCTCTCTTATTACTGGCAGTACAGATTAAAATTAATGACGGTTGTCTTGTGACAGCGTTGAAAGAAAACCCCGTACATGTGATGTGTGCAAATTCATTATAAACAGAATGCCCTTAAGAGGTTTTAATTCAGTGAATTAATTATCTTATGTTTTTACAATAAGTTAAGGAAACCATTCAAATATGCTGACAACGCAGGTAAAGCAGTCTGGATATTAGTTTGTAAATTTTTTTTTTAAAGGCTGTTACAGTGCCTTGCAGAAAAGTATTCATTCATTTTGGGCTTGAACATTTTCATATTTTGTCACATTACAACCACAATCTACTGTTTTTTTTGTTGTTTTTTTGTGATTTAATGTAAGAGACCAGCACAATGTAGGGCAAGATTGTGAAGTGGGAGAAAAATGAAAAAATGTCACCACTGACCTGTGTCACGTGTTCCTTGCTCATCTTGACGCTGTTTGTTCGCTTGTGTTATCCAACAAACATCAGAGGGTTTTATAGAGCAGCTGGATGTAAAATGAGATGAAAAGTACACGCAGGATTGGAGTGCATTCACCATCTAGGCAACTGGTTGTAAAGGATTTTATTTCAGCGATATCAGAAGAAAACAATGTGGATATACAAAAGCTTGAGCTCAGTTTGAAAAACAAAAACCAAAAAAAAAAAAAAAAAATCCCAGCATCCCGTAAGCATGGGTTGTCAGCCTACAAAAGGACATATTTTGTGGTATTTAGGGAATCTAAATCTTAACGCACAACTGAGCCAGGGAAAAAAACAACAAAAAAAAACAAAACAAAAAAAAACTAAATGCTTGTTACATAAAGTGCACTCGTTTTTGCCCAGAGGAAACTGAAGGTTTTGAATATAGAGATCACCAGAGAGCAGTGCGTGTCCGATGAGCTGCTGCAGAGCAGCCAGAGCTGTTCTCACAATGTAAATCTGTCTCGCTCTACTCCTCCTCTGGCTCTACGCTCGGCTTGCTGTCAGAGCACTGCCAAATTGTGTCGACCACCTCCGACGTAAATCACACTCAAGATGCTCCCCTTTGGTTGCTTCTTCCTTTTTTTCCCTTGTGCTTGATCCTGAATCCTAATCTCTCTCTCTCTCTCTCTCTCCCTCTCTCTCTCTCTTGCCATGTTTCCAAGTTTTTCCTCTTTCGATCTCATTTCGATCACCAGCTCTCTGCACGTTCTCCACACCGGCAAATTAGGAACACGAGACCACACTTGGTACTGTGAGTACACAGTTCTTTGCAAGTGTCTACACTTTGCACAGTACTTACATTTGAACTTAGAAACAAGTTGGCAACCCTTTCGTAACATTAAGGCTGACTTAGATCTGGAATCTAAAGGGAAAGGAGTCAAAGTTGGACAAAGGGAGTGGAGGAGATGTGTTTAACTCCTGACCTGTCTGCTTCTCCTTCACTGTGTCACTCTGAATTACTCCTCTATCCTTCTAGCTTTTTCTGGACCCCAAAGCTGACTCATGCATGAGTCCCTTTTGTCCAATGCTACATTTCTCTCTCTCTCTCTCTGATTGGTGGGACTCCTTTGCCAGTGGCCTGTTATTGGATGTTTACACAGCTGGGTGGCCATGTGAAACACACAGGGCTCATGACTTGGACACACTCCAATACCACATCATATATCTTCTTAACCCCCTCCTTGAGCTTCTCCCGCCCCACCACATACACAGATACACCCACCCGTTCGCAAAACCGCTGCATGCCTTCGGTTCTCCATTTTTTTTTTTTTTTTTTTTAATAAACATTTCTTTCAGCCCGGTGTCACTTGGAAATGTCACCACGTGGCTCCTTTACCCAACCATAATGGTGTCAGCACCTTTTTCGTTGACTCTAAGCACCCGCGCCCACACCCACTTTACACCCACCTTCTGGCCTTCTTTTGGTCTGAGTAATCCCCGGGTTTGTTTTGAAGAGGAAAAAAAACAAAAAAAAACTGGGTCTCTTCTGTCTCTACTTACTGTCTGTACTTTCAAAGTGAAAAATTCAATATCTGCAGTCAGTGCGATAAAGGCACTTTTTTTTTTTTTTTACTGTGTTTTGGTCCTGTTACTCTGCGCATAAGTATCTAAGTGACAGTCTGTTATTTCTTATGATTATTTTCCCCTTTGCGGAGATATAACTTAGATACCACATGTTTTCCACAAGGACAGGGATTTTCTTTGCTCAACATGACACTGGTAGCACTTAAAAACAAACAAGCTCTGAAATATGGAGCGCATAAAGAAGGAGCATTAACAGTTCCTGCATAAACAGCAGAATATTTACCTTCTCAGTGGGATTTCTGACGTTTTATGTTTTGCAGCTTGACGAACCAAAGCACCAGATCCATGTTAAATAAATGTGCACTTTATGTTTGCGTGCATGCGTGAAGTTTTCCGAGCAAACTTAGCTGTATATGTGACATGGTGATAAGAGATAGGAAGGTGGTTATTTTTTTTTAATCTGTTTATAAAGTATTAGACTGTATAGCAAGGATAGAGGGGATTCATTTATTTTCTTTTCACATCAGAGTCTGGCAGCTGAGTTTAGTGCTTCCAGTTAATCCAAAATTGCTGGAATATCTCAGGTTAAAGGAGCTGTAAATGACTTTTGACAAGGTGTGTTGGTGATTTTGAGGCCTGCTGTGATATGAAATGAACTTGTTTCCATTTCAGCAGTATTAATTACATCTGCAATGTAAATAACAGAACAGGCCTGACAGGATGTTCGGGAGTTCATCAAAAACAAACCAGAATGCCTCTGCAAATCAGACTCATCTATCTGATCCTGTGCTGATATTTAGTTTTAAGGAGCCAACTTATGCAGCAGGGATGTACGACACTCTGCACAGCAATGATTTCGCTTGAAGTGTGCATAGAAAATATCCGATTGGGTGATTTTATTATTCATTTTTATGTGCTTTACAAGGTGTATTCAGATTTGTTCTACTTTTAAGCGTTTTTGTTTCCACTCAAGATCTTGAAATTCACCCATAAAAACAAGAAAACAAGAAAACCAGCCAACCCCTCAACTAAACAATCAGCCATCTGACCCACAGAGAAAGGGTAAAAAAATAAACCCGGACATATTAATAACCAAATCTGCACACTGGTATGAATAGGTTTATCATGTAGCAGCAACTAAAATAGTTTTGCGAGTTTCCAGCAGATTGAATGGATACTTTTATGCAAATCCAGAGATGGGTGAAACCCCCTTTGGATTGGGTTGATGATTGATGCCGTACTTCAGTTTTGGCCATGTAGGAAAAATATAATAAAGACTCTTATTAAAAAGAGATGGAGTCAGCTTGTTACGAGATCTCACTTTTGTCCTCAGTGGAAGCAGCGTTACTCTGCAAATTCACTGATCTGAGATTTTCCTGTTCACTTTACATTTTACTGCTTGTGGCTTGCAGTAAATCAAAGTGGGATTTCTGCAAAGTCAGTGAATCACTCAGTGACTTAGGGCGCTTATTTCGTTTTCATGTCTATTGCCTAATAAGTTCTTTTCCAGATTTCGGCTCTAATGTAGGTTACACATCATCAGCAGCAGAACCGGCCACCCACATTTCCTTTCATCTTCCTCCTGCGCCTTTAGGTGCCTTCAGCTCTGCCCTGTGGTTTGACGAGGTCCTCAGAAAAAATATTAGAGTGAAATATTCAACTGCGTCCCTGGTATTGTTCTGCAGAGTTACGTGACTGGATGTGAGCTAACTTTTTCCAGTCCCAGAAGTTTTCATTCCTCCCCTTTGGCTTATTTATTTTCCTGTGGTTTTGGGAGGTTGTAGCAGCAGGTCTGATGACAAAATGTGTGTGTTCTCCTTTTTAACCTCTCTAACCTCATATTTGCTCTGCAT